TTGTTTATCCATGTCTAATCTGTTCACAATACACATAGTTGTTTATCTTGTAGGGATGTTAGGGTTATTACTTTTATTGCTATTAACTTATTATCATTAAGGCTACATATTCATCTCCCCATGCAGCTTTTGAGTTTTCTTTGAAGAACTGACACACAAGTTTTTGAATTCTTTTCGAAGAATTGACATACACTTGCTTTTTACATATTTCTTTAAAATTATAACATTTATGCTGTTTGTCATGTGAATTAAAATCTTGAAGCAGTGTGCTAACTTTGATTTCTGACCTGTTGTTGAGACGGGCCTTTAAATTTAAGGAACACTTGTCAGCAATACTACAACATATGTCCATATGTTGTAGTATTTTTTTTTCTTTTACCTTTCAAAAAAAAAATACTACAACATATGCACATAAGTTTTCTAGGCGATTTGGATTATGCTTCTAAGAACAATATGTGTTTGAGTTTGCTTGTGTTTGTCGCTTTTGTTGTTTGGGTGATTGTAAAATGATTGTTTATGCATGTTTTCTGTATTTCTCCTCCTTTTGGAAGGGGGCTGGCAATATGTGATAACTCTCCTTTAGAGCTAATTTTGATCTGAGACTCCTTGCATCTCTTAGCAACGATGGCAACTTTCGAACTTTAAATATGTTGGGAAAAGTAATAAGTTCTTCCTTTTCTTCTTTCTCTTTCACTCCTTGTTTCAAAATAAAAGTCGGAGGGGCCACCAAAACTTCTCTCTTTCCGCTTTTCCTCTGACCTGTTGCTATTTGCGTTGTTTTTGTTGGGGCTTACATTTCTATGGTTGCCAAAGGTGGAAGAAGTTTGTTGGTGAAGATGTCATCCGGTTAGAAGTTCCTGTCTCATAATTGATAATACAAACACCAGGATTTAGTCCCACAAGTAAGACATAGGAAAAATCTAGAGTCATATCCACTCTTCCAAAAATCTAAAATTTTGCTTGAATAGTAGGGCTTCAGCCTTCAGGTGAGCAAGATTTGCTCATTCATGGGTGTCTTGTCAGGTTATCCTCACTTATCATAGAAACAGCACAGCTTTGGCGTGGGCAGCTGAAGACTTTTAACTCAGGGCCACTCCTTTCAAAGCTATATTTTAATATTTTAGCAAGTAGTGCAATTGAGCTTGCATGTATAAAGCCACATCTTAAATCTCTGACCAGGTTATGCTATTTGTTACACGGGCAGCTATGTTCTCTATCTATCAATTTAGGGGTAGTTTGGGGGGAGAGTAGCCGAAATTATTATCCACACTTATTTATTCCCCCTACACCTCAAAAAAAAGAAGAAAGAAACTTACTTTGCAAGTTTTGTCAAGGGCAATCATAATAACAGATTAGTTTGTTTGAATTGCTTACAGTTTATCGTAGTGTTTATACAGTTTTACACAAGAAAGATCGATTGGATCCAATTAGGGTCTCTTTTGTCTTGATCCTGCTTATCTTGTTCTTATTCAATTCTTTACCAGGACATTGCAGATACACTGTCAACTGAAGTGGCAGAAGACTCTATCCATGTGGCAAAGTTGCATTCAGCTTTAGAATCTGTTAATCACAAAAGAAGAAAGGTGTGTTAGTAAATTGAATTGCTACTTTTGTTAATGTATATTATCTCCAAGTAATACTGAATAATTGCCCCTAGCTACCGATGAACCAACATAGCCGAAGATTATCTACTTTGGATCTCTTTTGATAAAGAAAAAGGCGTATTATCATGCCATTTTCTTTCTATTGTTGAGTTAATTAATATTTTAAGTGAACCATAATTGCTTGATAAACTGTGAAGCAAGAACCTCACTTTATGTGTACTAGTTCTGGGAACGTGCTCCGCACGTTTATCCTTTACTGTCATACAAATTTCTATAGGCCTAATCTAACGTTGATAATTATTAATTACATTATTCTTTTGTAGATGTTGTTCTATGCAAATATAATAGTGTCAACTAATTCTTTTCATTGAATTTTGGTTATTTTTGTGCAAAATAAGAAATGTTGAATAATGTAAAACTAATTAAGATAATATAGCATATAATAGTATGTGATATAGCAAAGAACTCTTGCTCTAGATTTAAGAAATGGACGTAATATATCTAACAAATTTAATAAAGACATAAAGAATAAATATATATTTACTATGTTAATGAGGAAAAGAGAATGACCAATAAATACTCCACTGCACGTGCTTTGCTTAGAAGTCTATTATTTTAATTTAAAAAAATTAATGAAAGACATATTTTAATATAAAAAACAATAGCAAAGGGCATTTTTGTAATCCAACTTTGAGCTTTTTTTGTTCCCACTTTTAGTAATATATGATATGCTGAACTGCCGAATGATTCCAGGAGGTGTTAAAAAGTTGGGCTGAGGATGATTATCCACAATATCCTTATGCCTAGGTTACTGAATAGCCCACAGCCTGTCGTATGAACTCATTTTTCTTGTATATATCATTTTATTTGAATTTAGATAGTTGGAAGGCTAGTATGACTCAGTTACTCTCATAAACAGATTTTGCAACAAATAAGAAGTGATATGACAATGTTGACATTAGAAGATGGGAGTTCACCGGTTCGAAATCCTTCTACTGCAGCTGAAGATGCCCGACTTGCATCCTTGATTTCCCTCGATGGCATTTTGAAAATAGTCAAGGTGTTTTATTAATTTCCCAGTCACTTTCCTCTGGATTGTTGTTTTGTTAACTGTGCTAGTGAATCAAAAGGCAAGACCGATCTGATGAATTAATTTTAACAGGACGTACTGAGGCAATCCTCTGTGAACACCCTCAGTAAGAGTAGGAAGAAAGCTTTGCTAGCTTCTCTAGATGAACTTGCAGAACGAATGCCTTCCTTGCTTGACATTGATCATCCGTGTGCTCAGAGGCACATTGATGAGGCACGACATGCTGTTGAGGTACCTAGTTGCTTTTATCGCTGCTGGTTGTTAACTATCTGGTGTTTATGTTTGTCATCCTGAAGATAGGAGTCCATATGTTGAGTATTATACAATGTTTTAGCATCACATTTTCATGAGTACCGTAGATGTGCAGCTCTTCAATTAATTGCTGATATTTACCTGCTGAGGTTGTGTATATGTGATAACATTCTATTGACTCGAGAAAATACTGTCTTAGAGAGAAATTTGTGTCTAGCTTTATATATTTGACTGGATGCTATTACCAACTGCAACTGAGCTGCCATGAGAGAACTAGCGATAGCAAAGCACAGAAGATCTAAGTTGCACGGACTCTTCACTTTTGATGCCGCACCCATGTCGGATTCTCCAAAAATACACTAATTTTGGAGAATCTGCTGATAGTTTTGAAGAGTTTGAGCAACATAGCAGAAGATAAATTGCTGAACTGATACGGGCATTATAATTTCAGATTACAAATTTTTAGTTCAACGTTATTTGCAGATATATTTCCAGTTCTATTCATATCAACTAGGATACTTTTTCTCCTTTCAACTAATGTATTTTATTTTTGCTAACAATTTGACAGTTAATTCCTGAAGAGGATGACCGGCATCATGAAAATGTACATGCTTCTCGGCCTCCTGCGAATGTGGGATTAGGGGGTGAAACTGACGTGACACAGTGGAATGTTCTTCAGTTCAACACAGGTTCAACAAGCCCATTTATCGTCAAATGTGGAGCTAACTCAAACTCTGAACTGGTCGTTAAAGCAGATGCACAAGTTGAAGAACCTAAAGGGGGTGAGATTGTCCGAGTTGTTCCCAGACCACCTGTTCTTGAAAATTTGAGCTTAGATGAGATGAAACAGTTATTCACACAGCTCCCGCAGTCTCTTAGCCTTCTTGCTCTTGCAAAGACAGCAGACGGAACCAGAGCTCGATATTCCAGACTCTACAGGACTCTTGCCGGGAAGATTCCAGCATTGAAAGACCTTGTTGATGAACTTGAGAAAGGCGGAGTGCTGAAGGATGTCAAATCATGATAGCATCTCTTGTGCAATAACACACTTTGGATATGCTGATTATTTCAGATGTGTTGCCTACTTGGCCTGTAATTTTGGTAAAATGTTGCCCCAATTTTCAATTTTGGGTTTTCAAGTTGTGTATAGTTGTAGCATTTGTGTAAGTGGCTATACAAGATTTTTTTGGTGCATCAAATTATTATTATTCATTTCCGAAGCTCTAATTTTGAAATTTGTTTCTGTTGAATTGTTGAGGATGTTACTTGGCATTTATATGGTTTGTTGAATGATGGGGAAAAAGGATTGTGCGATTTATGAAGAGTTTGTTTGACTCTGGAATTGCAAAAAATACATCAAAGATATTGAGACAATCAATTGCAATTATATATATATATATATATATATATATATATTTTCAATTATATGATACATCTAATAATGAATTTATCTAATTTTGGATTACAATTAAACATTTATGTAATACATTAAATATGAATCACAATTACATACATATATATGTTTAATGAGATATTTATATGATGAGTACTCCCTCTGTCCCTAATTACTTATCCACTTTTGAATTGACACATCTATTAAGAAAATAATTATTGACATAGTGAGTTTACCATTTTATCCCTATTAAATATGAAATGGATGAATTAAAAATTTAAGATTTTAAAAAAGTTCTACCTTTTATAAAGTAATTAATTGAGGGTATAATAGGTAAAAAAAAATTTGTCCTTTCTAGATTTGTTCAAATGGACAAGCAGGAGCAAAAAAAGGAATATGTTGAATTGGGACAGGAAACCATCATAAGCCAGCCAACAAGCAAAACGAGTTCTCATTAATTAGAGACAACTATAAAAAAAAAAAGTGGACAAGTAACTAGGGACGAATATTATTTACTATTCCTAATTTATATAGGATTATATAAACCTTTTCTATTCATTTTCCTATTCTAAATAGGATTTGCATAAACCTATTTAAGAATCTCTATTTAATCAACAGACGCATATTTCTTCTCATAATACACTTTAGTTACAGAGATCTCTTCAATCGAAAATTTGCGGAGAGAATATCAACTGAAAAATGGCTGAATCAATACAGGAGAATTGGCAAAAAGGCCTTTCTGGTGCAGATGTACAATTTGAGAATTGGGAAAAACAGTACTCATACGAAGAGAAGAGACTGAAATCACTTATTGACGGGGAAGGATATGGAAATTGGGAAAAACAAAATTGTTATTGGGAAATAGAACATGGTTTGGTACCTTCATTGGAGGCGGAAGAGAAAGAGAAGAGGGGAAAAACTTCTGAGATCTCGTTGGAGGACCGAAGAGAAAAACTTGCCGCACAAGGAAGATGCATTGATGGATCCTATCTAACTCCGTATTGCAGGTGTGACAAAAAAAGCTGTCGATTCGATACAACTTTGGAGGATTATCCCCCAGAATATCTCCCAATTTGGCTGGCATACTGCCACCAGTATCGCCAATCGCATGTAAGTTTGTTTAATTTTTTCTGTATCGCATATTCCCTTATAATAATTCTATCAATAACATGTTTAACATATTTGTTTTTGCTTCTTTGACAGTGTTTTGACATTGATGACTTTATCAATGGTAGAATAGGTCCATTAAACCCATCTCAGAATTTCAATGGCAGAGTTGAGTTACTGATGGAATTAGCTAACCATTCTATCAAGGATTATAACGAGAAAGAGTGCAATGTTTTCAAGTATAAGGTGATGAAGATTGAGAAAGTGAATTGTTGTGAGGCGACCTGTACATATTGGATGACTGTCAAAGTATCAAATCTCACTCTTGGTTCGATCGAAACTTTTCAAATCCATGCTGGTATGCGTTGGGTCACTAATGATAAAATCATATTTTGTTGCCGGCCTAAAGAAGAGGTCACTATTGGTTTACGAAGCTGCGAGTTTTGCTTTGGCCTTCTTCCTGGGCATGTCAGGGAAGGAAAGGAACCATAGTTCTTTTTGAGAAAAAATGTATAATTGAGTGACTTCTGATAAAAGAATTCACAGTTGAGTGACTTTTTGAGAAAATAGTTCATAGTTGAGTGACCATCTAAGATATTAACTCTATAAAAAAGCCTTTTACTTTGACAAGGGAAGAAATTGATCTTTATAATTTGACTAGATAGGATTTCCCGTGACCAAAGTTTGATAAAAAATCAATCATTTCTCATTTGTTTCAATTTATCAAATTACATATTGTTTAAATCTACAACATTTATCAAATAATGATGAAGTGAAAGTTGATTTGCCCTACTTCATAAGATGGAGAAGCAATGAAAAATAATTTTCTAAATGCAAAAGGAAGAAACAATAACTGCAACATGTATTTGCAACAACTTCGAATAGAATATACATACTCTGGTATATTGTTTGCACCAAATTTATCCATAAATTAAATACGTAAAAGTCACCTCATGCATATAAAGGACTACGTACACGAGGAGAATATTATTCGTATTTGCAGAAAAAAGATGGCGATATGAGGTAAAAAATTGATATGAATAATTTGCTCGATCTTTGCATCGCTATACTTGTTGGCTAATTTCACCTTGGTTTGTTTTTTTGGACTATTTTACAATTAAATTATTTGTGAAGGCGAAAATTAGAAGACACTATTCAATTCATGCGGCAAATCTGTTTGGTTGGGGGAAAGTAGGAAGGAAGCAAGGAAAATTTTAGAACATTGAAATTAAGTTAGCCTAAATTATGTATATTATATACTCCTAATTATTTGAGCTGTTAGTTTATGAAATAAAAAAAAAATCAAAAAAATCGACATTATATTTCAACTAATATGTTGAAAAAGATGTAAGTTACTCTCTCCGTTTAATGACGTATTTTTTTAATTATCAAATGTATTATAAAATATTTAGAATTGTGAGGCAAAATGACTATTCAATTTCTTTTTAAGTTTTATTGAATACTATTTTCTCTATTTCATATTACTTTTCATATTTCACTTATGAAGAATCAAATTAGATAAAATATTAAGTTGATCTAATTTGATTTAGCTCACAAATTAATTAAATTAATTTTCGAAAAGTAGAATATTGAAATCGAAAGTGTACCAAATAAATAAATAAAAGTGAGTATTATAAACATATCATAATTAGTTGATTTTTTAAAACTATTTTTCTATGCCCAAAAAATATGAATAGTTCAATTAGTTAACTACATGAATTTTATTCACAAGAGTTGAGGATCTTGCAAATATAAAACACACATACACAAAGTATGTGTATTCACAAAAAATTCACAAAAAACACACATGAATTTTATTCACAAAAAATTCATTTGTCACTTTATAATCCTTTGCTGAATTAAAACTTTCACTAATAATTCAAATATGAAAACAAAAAATACTATAAAGAATTTTATACTCATTCTACATTCATATATAAATAATATAATTTTTTATAATCGAATATTCAAATTAACCCCTTGATCCTAGCAGACTCGATATTCTCCGCAATTTCTCCTCCCCTACCCCAATTATATATATATATATTTTTTTTTTATTTTTTATTTTTTTTTCTACAACAAATTCCTTCCCCCACCCCACCCCCACTCCACCCCAAGAGTTGAGGATCTTGCAAATATAAAACACACATACACAAAGTGAAGAGGGAGAAGAAGAAGAAGAAGAAAAAAAATGGATTCATCTTCATTAACATGTAAAAAGCTAACAGTAATTGCTGTATTAGCAGTTTTGATTCAAGTATTTGGGCTTGCTCTCTTTGTTCTTGGTTTCTTCCCTGTTAAACCAGCACTCTCTGGATTCAGGTACTCAAAAAAAGAATTGATTTTTCAGTTTCATTTCTTAAAAATCCAATCTTTTCTTGAATTTCATTATTGCAAGAGCTTGGAATTGTCATTTGTATTCTGGAAAATTGTATAATAAGCATTGAGATTTCCTTTCTTTGTTATGTTTTTCCTCAATTTCTTCAGTGGAGTGGAGAGTTTTTATCCGCCTGGAGCAGATTCAGCTGAGTTTCAGAATACCACCAATTTATCAGATAGTCAGCTCAAATATTTGTACCAGGTTGGTGTGTGTTTTGGGGTGGTGGGGGTGTTCTTTTTTGGGCTAAGAAGATCATATTTTGTAGATTTTTTTGTTGTACCAGGTTGGTGTATTTCTTCTTTTTTGGGGTGGGGGGTTTGTTCTTTTTGGGCTAAGAAGATCATATTTGTAGTAAATTGAATTTGTTCATGTTGTGTCAGCTTAGATATTGTGTTATCTCATTTATATGAAGTACTATATATAGCTGATATCATTGTGTATAATTATGAATACAGTTTGGCATGTTACAGAATTTGTTAAGGTTCTTGAAAGTTTGAAACTTGTTGAGATTTTTTTATAGGAATGTCGTGTTGTTTTTTCGATGTACATGTTAATGTGGTTTTCTGTTGCTTTTGCATTGGATATGCTAAAGTGCTCTATTGCCCTTAAATTTTATGGTGTTTAATTTGGTAAAACTGCAGGAATTGTCTTTGGTGCCTCCTTTATTTGACCGGTTAATACTCATGGTGAGTGGTTTTGTTAGTTTAATCTTGCCTGAGAATGTTTTACTTGTGAATCTTTCAGGGCTATGTCTGGTTGGAAACATGATTTCCTTTTTTGCTGATAAAATCTATTTTTTTAGGTTATTGATGGTCTTCCAGCTGAATTCGTGCTTGGGAAAGATGGTGAACCTCCACCGAAGTCTTTCCAGGAAGCTATGCCATATACTCAATCCTTATTGAGTAAGGGGAGGGCAATTGGGTATCATGCAAAAGCTGCACCTCCTACTGTCACAATGCCTCGCTTGAAGGTAATCAAATGGATTTTGGATTTTTTTAAACTTATTTTTTGAGAAGTAGATTTTTCAGTAGCTGTGTTCTTGCAGGCAATGGTTTCTGGTGCTGTTGGGGGATTTTTGGATGTTGCCTTCAATTTCAACACACAAGCTCTGTTGGACGACAACATAATTGGTTAGTTGGAAATTCTTGTTAAGATTCTATTTGATAAAGTAGAAAATCCCCTTTGAGTTGTAGCTTCTCAATTGATTAAGTGGTTACCAGATTAGGTGCCGTAACATGACCCATGATTTCTCTTCCTGTCACAGTTCAATTCCTAAAAGTTGGTTGGAAACTTGTGATGCATGGTGACGAAACATGGCTTAAGTTGTTTCCTGGAATGTTTTCGAGGCATGATGGAGTTAGCAGTTTCTTTGTAAGTCTGTTTTAATACCAGGAATTTGAAGCATTCTTTATTCAATAATTCTGTTTTCTCTACTATTGCTCTTGTGGGGGTGTAGCTATTTCTCCTCTCTGCTGGTGTAGTTTGCTCATTTATACTCTTTAATTTCTTGATTTGCGAAAACATAGAAAGTGTCTTCAGCCATGCTAGTGAAATACCATTCTTTCAGTTATATGTTGGATCGAATATCTTGGGGGTGGAGGTGTAATCTACATCTAGGTCTAAGGTCAGAATGCTGCTTAAGGTGTAAGATTTAATTGCTTTGCTTGTAATTGGTGTTGAAAAGTCTAAGGTCTTAGCTGCTTATGGAATTCATCCGCAGGTTAAAGACACTGTCCAAGTAGATCAAAATGTATCTCGACATTTGGTTGATGAACTTAGTCACGCTGACTGGAGTCTTCTGGTAACCTCTTTTTCCCTTCTATTTGTCCAAGAACTAGTTAAATCAATTGAGAGAAAACAAAGAGAACAATAGTTGCTCAAAATGATAGAATTGAAGGAGCATACCCTGTGGCAGCAACCAGAAGAAGAGCAGCAATTGTTGGCTTTCTGTCTTACAATGTAGCAGTAATTATTGTATTTAGCCCAACTCAGCCTGACAAATCATCATCATCATCATCGTAATTGTGTACTTTTGTCTAGGTTCCATCATCATCTTATAATTATTGATGTGTGTTAATTCATCAAAGTTAATTTACTTTGACATATGATGCAGAAACACCTATCCCTAGAAAATTAAGTTTTAGCATTTATGAAAAGTTGTTCCTTCAATGAACCGAGGCAATCTAAGTTTTGGTTAGTATTGGAAGGAAAAGATCCAGATCAATTGCCCATAGAGGAAGAGTGCTTCTCTTCCCAAGGGTTTGCCTTGGCAATTGGCATAGAAAGTTAGATAGAAGTGAGTGAATGGAGCACACCTCGTTGGACTCGCTTCACTTTGTCACTCTTAAAGGCATCATGAAGTGGCCATTCACCATGCATGTGAAGTGCTCTTCAGTCTTCATTACATGTTTTGCTTTTGACCAAAGTGCTAAGGCCTCGTCGCTTAGGTTTGCCTCAGCTTCTAAAACATTGATTTTGCTGTGCTTGGTTTAGTGAGGACCTAGTGCTTTTGCCGATACTGATACACTACCATTAATCAGATGATGAAGTAAATAGATTTTCCTTCTCGAGTATATATTGAACTGGTCTTCATATAGGATGTTCCAGAATCTGCTGCTTTGAGAGCACAAATTTACAACCTAATTCCTTAAGTTTTATTTTCTATGGTCATACATGTATAGTCATCCTTCCATTGAACAACTATATTTGCGTTCTAATTGCCAGTGTTGTTAGCATGCCCGGTTGATATTTCAAATTCCAACTATCACTTGTAAACTTATTAAGCAGCTTCCTTTTGTGAGAATAATTATTTCCTACATATGTGGAAATCATTATTGAACTAGCAGATACATCTTGATTTTCTAGTACAACATGTTTTATAATTAATTTTACAGAAAGTCTATCTTGCATATTGTGTTCGGGTTTTTTGTTTCAAATAGCTGAAAGTTACTCCCCTCTCAATCAAAACGTCTAAATCATTTTCCTTCTGAATATGGCTTACGTTGGTCAGTTATATTCTAAATGGGGGACCTTGTTAGATCCATGAACATGTTACTGATGGTTCATCTGGTTCTTTCTGTGGAGTTACTTTTTTGTTTGCCACTACTTTATTTAACACAAGCCTGCACTGTTTCAGACTCTTCATTATCTTGGCTTGGATCATGTTGGACATCTTGGTGGGCGCAATAGGTGTGTCATGTTAATTTGCAGTTTGCATTGAGTTTCCGAATAAAAAAGATGATAATACATCCATAATACTTTCTTGGGGTGTTTATTACAGTGTGCTGATGGCCCCCAAACTCAGAGAGATGGATGAAGTGATCAAGATGATCGACCTAAATTCTTTACCAACCAACAATAATGATCAAGGACGGACACTCTTGGTTTGTGCTTCTATCTCTTCTCCAAGAGTTGTGTAGCTTAGTCAATAAGCTAGCAGTTATCTGTGATATTCCGGACTTAGAAACATTGCCCTGTTATAGATATGAAGTAGTAAAAAGTGATGAAACCATTGTTGCCGTTAACTATGACATTTGAGTACTTGTCTTTTTCTATTTTACTTCCAAAAATATATAAATGTAATTTGCACAAAATATAGGCACAAAAAAATTATATGAACAAAGTAATTGGAAAAGCTATAATTAAGTGAAATATAGAAGTAAAAATAAAACCTGTAAATTAAGCTCAAAATTGATATAAAATTTTGATTTAGAAGCTACAATGCAGTCAAAGTTTGTACTTCAGGTTTTCTGGCTAGTTTTCTTCTATTTGAATTTTTTAATTTCTTTTCCTAGTAAGTAACAGATTCATATGTTTCCTCAACAATTGATATATCTCTTTTCTGGTTGTTTATTGTTCATTGGTGCTATCTCCAAAGTAGAGCCCATGTGCATTGAGCTCATTCCTTAATATGTTGATGTTTTCTGCCTAAGTGAGGTGAAGCACCACCTAGCTTTGGGGTTTAAGCACCTCCAAATGACCTTTAACAATATTGACCTACGTCTTGATCAAATTTGAAGTATTATTTCTTCTTTTTAATATTTTTAACATCTTAATATGATTCCCCGATCCAATATCGAATCCATTCTATATCTTATCGAAAAATAATTTCAACATATGAATATGGTAATATATCAACAAATTACCTGATATTCCTGTTGAATAGTGGAGCAAGTGTTTGTGGCATCATACAACTCTAATGTGAAGATATCATTTGATTACTCAACAAACAAATGTCAATATTCTGACTGTAATAATCCCTTGTCTTGTTTATGGTGCACACATTTGCAGTTGGTAGTAAGTGACCATGGAATGACTGAAAATGGAAATCATGGAGGATCATCATTTGAGGAAACTGACTCTTTGGCACTTTTTATTGGTCCTACAAATTTCGGAAGTACATCAGGCACCCCTAATAAAGCCAACCAGGTATGTGACCATGAATTTTATTGTTGATTAATTTTTAATGGATTATTTCATTGGTGGAAATTGGAATCACTTGCCATTTCTTTTCATTTGCATGATCAGCTCTCTGCAAGAAACAGTTATTTATGATAGGCTATGTTGCTCGGACTCTCCAAAATGTTGCCGCACTGGTGTTTGATCCACCAAAAATACAATACTTTTGAAGGATCCAACATGCACTAGTCGACTTTTATGAAGAGACCGAGCAACATAGGTGCTAGGTTGTTAATGTGCAGCAGTACCTCCATTATGATTTGTATGCTGTAAGAAGAAATATACAAGTTAGCAGTAAGTCTCTAAAATATATCTAGTATTTCACCCATGTTCTGCATGGGAGCTAATATAAAACTATGCAATATTGGTTTTTCAAAATAAGCATTGTAATAAAAGAGTTGCTAGAGTAAGTTTTGTCTGAAATTCTTTCAAAAATAAAACTTGAACTACAAGTGCTGGTAAAAGTAAGTTGATAAGTAGTGACTTTTTGCCATAGTCTTTACTGAATAATGAAGGAGGTTTTTATTTTTTCTTAAAAAAATATATTTTTGATAGTAGTTGCAGGGTTTCCTTATTTGAGATAAGATTGGTTTAATCATCAACTTATTTATTTGTCAATTATTTATTATTCTGGTGTTTCAGGTGGACCTTGCTTCAACATTAGCTCTTCTTTTTGGTGTTCCGATACCAAAGAACAATGTTGGCATGTTGATGCCAGAAACTTTCAAATCATTAACAGGTCTGATTTGGTAGTTTATGTTGTTAATTCTGAGCCATATAGAATGTTGATATCTGGTGATAATTGTTAAGGACAAGTGTCAGAATATGTGTTACATAGTGATGATGACTATCTACGTAGGAAAATCTGTGGGCGTGTGTTTGGATATCCTGTTCCTTCTGCATCCACAAGTGAGGCATGGGTTCGAGGAATTGAATTCTGCATTTTTCTTCATCTTGTTATTCTGTGTATCAGAACAACAAATGAGAAACTTTCCTGCACAGACCACAGTTGTTCAAGTTACCTGTAATTCATCCAATTACTAGTCAAGATTTCTAAATTGTTTCCACTTTACCATACTGGTTCTATGCTTATTTAATATACTCTGACTGCATTCTTCTTGGCACAAATCTATCATGTTGAATCATATGGGAGTTAAAGGCAATGATTGTTAATGATGTAATCACAGTTTTACATGGGGTGCTTCTCCTATGTTCTTAAGAGAATCCCAGTTTATACATATGCTCTGTGCTTCCGGGTATCAGTGGTTGTTATCTTGGTTTTTGACTAGAAAAGGGAGCTAGGCACTGCTATATGCAGTTTCCCACAAAAAAAAAATCACTTTTGGAGATTGCCATCCTTTTTATTCAACCCTGGAACTAGAAGGGACATTTTTTTGGGGCTTAATTCAGTCTGAGATTGAGAGTTTTCCTTGATGGCTCATGATAGTGAATGCTAGTTCATTCAGGAGTGAGGTTCCTCGGAGTAAAATGGGCTTCACAATGAATCTAACAGAAGTATGCATTTTCAATATTATGACGCTTAAACCTTAATATTGAGAGGTTATACTTTGACTCCTGACAACTTGTCGTTGGAGCACCTTGAATAGGCTCAGGCTAATGAAAATGGTTGGAATTCTCGTTAGGCTTGGTGCTCAAGTCTGACAAGATCAATCAGGCTCGACTGAATATGCTGATCTGGTTATGTTGTGACAGCGCACTTTCTATGAAATGGAGAAAATAAATAGCAGCATATAGAGTAATCTTGATACATTATTTTCAGTCCCATCATTTCTTGTGACCATCTTGTCAAAATCATGTATGTCGTCTTTTTTGCACTATAAAGTTGGTCATGTTCCTCTTTCATTTTCTTCAAGTATTTCAGTTGACCAACAACTCAGGTTATTGGAGTTGAATTCCTGGCAATTGCTTAGGCTCCTTGAAGCGCAATTACCTGGTTTAGTATGTGAAAACTTTTCATGCGACAACTTCAGGGATGATGGATCTGAGAGGACAAGAGGTTACAGTAGTCTGGAAGAGACCTTTTGTTGTTTGTATATGAAGGCTGCAGATCTTCACAGATCTTGGAAGTCTGGGGAAGAGAAAAGGTGGTTGATGGTTTGTAATAGCCAATTTGACATACTTCTTCTCGGAAATTTTATTTGGGGAAAATTCTAATTCTTTTGTTGTTTTCTTCTCATATTTCATATAGATCTGCTAGTGGGGACAATTGTCACAGCATTCTTATGGCATATCATAATTTCTTAAGAACTGCAAGTGAGTGGCTATCTCATAGAGCAACTGACGTGAGTTTAACCTTATAAAAGTTTTTTTTTGCATTTCCAGAAAGTAATAGAGCAGAGCGTTCCATGATTTTTAATTCTCCCATATTTATTACCTTTTTGCAATAAATGTTTTTCAGAAACCTGTTGGCCGACTTATATTTGGAGTAGCTGCTATGCTCGTTTCATGTTTGATACTGCTGAGCCTTCTGTTTCTTCTAGGAAAGCAAGTTTTCTCTGAGCAGAATCAGCAGTTTTCTAGTGCCAATAATGACCTGAGCTGGTGGCATTTGGATGAAGTTTTTATTCTTGTGGTAATTGTTATTGTTGTCATAAGCATGGGATCCAGTTCTCTGGTGGAGGAAGAGCAATACATATGGCATTTTATGACATCCTCGCTTTATTTGTTATCTCTCCGGAAAGTAATGCAGCATATTGTAACAAGGACAGAGCGAAATACAAGTGCTACTTTGGGACCGAAAACAAATAATTACATCCAGATTTGCTCAATTTTTGTGATTCTCATTTCTGGGAGATTTTTGAGAGGATGGCATCAAGGTGGTGTTAATTGGACTAATCTTCCTGACATTTCAAAATGGTTAGAGCACGCGGGAAGCGCTTATATAAAGTTGTTCCAGCTGGTTTCAGTGATCATCCTAATCAATATAAGCTTAGTTTCTCTTATGTGGTCCAGACGGTCAAAAAAGAACTTTATGACCGTAGTTTCCTTGATGCACTTGTTCCCAGGGTGGCTGGTTTTACATTATATTACTAAATATCAAGATGTTGCATTCAGTACAGGTAGTTATGATGCTACTTTAATGGCTCAGGTAATTTATGTTGTCCTAGGTTTCTGTTCAACGACTATTGTTGTTGCTGTGCCATGGTGTATACCTTTCCAAAATCGTACGCTTTCTGTTCCTGAAGTACAAAGAAAGGCTTGGGGTTTATGTTTTAGGGATTCTGCATATGTGATTGGCTTGAGTTACGTATATTATTGGTCGCTTTTACAGCTATTGTTGCAGCAGCCCGTAAACTCAATGCCTGTACTATTTCTCTTCCTGCAAGTACTAGCTAGCATTTGGTTTTCTTCTGGTTCCAACCAGCATCGCAGGCAGTGGGTTGAGGTCAGTCAGATCTTTTAAATATTCATCCAAGTTCTCTTTTTATTTCTGTTTTTTTAAACAATTACGACGTCTTTGTCTTTGTCTTTAAGGACTGCCTAATACTAGTTTCACAAGTTTTGTTTTTCTCCTTTTTCCGTGTCAGGTTGCTGCACTTTACTACATGGGAATGGCAGGCCATTTTGGTCTTGGTAACACCAACACCCTAGCTACAATTGATGTTGCTGGGGCTTTTATTGTAAGTTTCTTGTGCAAAAATCTTTAATATTGTGTTTCATGCTAATTTCTCGTCTGCTTCATACTGAATCTGATGCTCCCCGTTGATTTGATTGCCAGGGTGTGTTGAACCACTCAACTATACTTTCTGGTGTCTTAATGTTCATTATTACGTACGCTTCACCAATGTTATACCTCCTTAGTATGGTGATGTACAATTCTGTGAAGGACACCAGTAGTTTCATAATTTCCGAGAAAGGCAACATTGGATCGTTGCTCAAGAGGACACTTGGTTTTCCTTGTCTGGTTCCGTTGGGTTTGAATTCCATTCTTTTGATAGCTTACACAATTGTGTTGCTGCTAATGCGGAATCATTTATTTGTTTGGAGTGTATTTTCTCCCAAGTAAGTGTCACTAAAAAGTTGATATTTTGCTTTATCATATATTTTGTATGGAGATTAAGAGTGACATTTCTCCATTCAGGTTCTTGTACGTTTGTGCTACGACTGTTTGTGTTTGCGTTGGTGTATCTATTGTAGCTTCAACCATGATCTATATCAGCTTGGTCTCGACTTACCGAGAGAAGTTGCACACTCATACTGACTAGTCTCAAGAAAGAGTACGACATATATACAACTAACCCGATTCAAGCGTTCTGTTCTCCATCGACAGGTATGCCAGTTGCTTTAGCCATTAAGGTGATCTAAACATTCCGGGGAAGTTGTGCATTAGAAGGAAGCATACTACGCGAAAGCCTTCCACACTTGAACCAACACATTTTTGACAGGAAAACTTACATCATTGAAGGTAAACGATTCATTTTTTCTGTTCAGTAGCCAAATGGTTGATCTGGGAAAAACCGATAACGTTGAACTGTAGATTTTCGCGATTTTCGTTTAGGTTAGAATGAGTTATGCCATTTTCAGTGTAATGTCTCTGCTAGTTTGATCTGTCAAAGCATACCTTCTAGTCTTGAGAGGCTTTTTGTATATTGTTGTGTTCTTATTTTTGGCCCTTTTATCAACTTGGATACATAATGTATCTTAGGACTACAGAAAGTGATGATATGAATAACAACAACATACTCGGTGTTTGGGCGCAGACTTTACCGCTACCTTTATGGGGTAGAGAGACGGTTTCTAATAGACCCTCGGTTCAGAATAAAAGTTTTCAACATGGGGTGTTTTATGTTGTGTGGATTTGTTACTAGTAATGATATTATTGTTCCATTGTTTACTTAAATGAACATTTTTAGATATAATTATCAATTTTTCTGTTTGAAGGTTGCAGTTATTTATATATTTTTACTGAAATTGAAATTTTGAAAGTATAGTTAGGTAGATCAATTATCAATGAATGAGATGTGCAATGGTAAATTAATCTAAATCTTTCTTTATTTTAATAATATTTGAAAAAAAAATAACAATGAGGGGAATATAAAACTTGGAAGTACTAGAAACAAATAAAAAAATCCTATAACTTAATTAGTTGAATCTAAACATTTTTATTAATGACTAGAAAATAATAATTAAATAGATTATATCATTCTTTTAGGAACCCCTCTTTTCTCAAGTTTGTCTTCGAGCTGGTCTTCCTTGTCCTTCAACTTCCAAAGGCTAGTTGTGGCCTCGTATCTGTCTTTCACATTTTCTTGTTGCACATCAGTATTTTTAAGGTCGTTTGTTTGCTTGTTTATCTGTTCTCTCGTATCTGCTAACCTCTCCCAGTAATTGTTGATGGTTTTGCTTTTTGAGGACGACATTCTTGCTTTTTTTATATCAAAACTAGCTCGAACAACTGTTGAATGCAAAAGTAACAAGGTTAATGAAAAAAAAAAGAATGAAACCAAAATATAGATATAATAAAAGTAGCTTCTTCTCTACTACATTAATACAACATTATAGTAATTCTTGAGGAAAAATAATAACTCAAAGTGAAAAGAAACTTACGTTAATATTGTAAAAGCCTAACTCAATTTGTTATGTGCATATACTATATTGTTTGTTTTTATAGACACTAATTTCTTAATTATTTCCTTATTTTTCTTCTTTTTAATTTTACTCTTGCCAATTAATATAAACATTATATTAAAAATAAGAATTACCATATTTTGAAGAAAACTACGTCAACTCCAAGGGAAAAAAAAGGAAAATTTGAATACAAAAAGGAGAAATAAGTACATACATGTAATATTATTATTAATAATTAGGTGTTAAAATGAAACAAAATAAACTAGCTTTCTTTTCCCATATGTGTGTTCTATTTACCTATTTTATTTTAAATTTTCCTTCTTCCCCCCTTCTTTATTCTTGGATTTGATTTTTTTCAAAAGTTTCAAGTGTTTTCCTAGTCTAAAATATGGTAATTCTCATTTTTAGTAGTAATTATTTTAGGCGTGAGTAAAATAAAAATAAGGAAAGAATCAAACATTAATGTCTATATTTAAGAAGTTTTTAAAGAAAAGTTTGGATGCTAAAGCAAGTAAGAATTAAAAAAAAAAAACATCAAAATTTAGTAGTATTATACTATTATAGACTCATGTTGTAAAGTCTCAAATGATATACTAATAATGAAGTTACAAATTAAAGTTATAATAATAATGTAAACATCAAACTTAATATTAATAAAGTATTTTTAAAGTCGATTTTGATAATAATTATTAAGTGTCGTATAGATTCGCGAGTGAGGAAGTGTGAGAGGTTGATTTGTAGCAGAAGTTAGGAGATGACATGACACAACTTCAATTTACTGAGCATACATAAAAAGATATAAACATCGAGGATTAGGATAGAAAGTTGGTATATAACCGAGTATTGCTGCATTTTATGGCAGAGAGGCAAGGGTTAGCCTCTTCTCTTATCTTCTTATTAGAAGTATTAGTTTCTTATTTTCCCGTGTGTATTATTATATGTTGTTTCATTTTCTTTATATCTTACTATCTTGTTATCATATTTTCTTACTATTTTTGTTTCGAAAAGACGAAAACTTGTTATATTTCCGATACTTTGATACGACACATAATAATAACTATAGTTACATCAAAGTCAATGAATGTGTAACCATAACTAACGAACATATATTTTCACTTCATTATAATAATATTATTGATAATGAAACTTAATTAATTATAATTAACGAAGGTATATTTTCATCGTATTGAGACTTTAAATATGCATGACCCTAAATCACTTAACTATAGTAGGTTCTATTGATTTGATATAAATATCTGATGCGAGTAAGTTTTTACCATTATCAAATTACCATCATTCCTCTTTTTGAATCCACACAAAGTCACTTTGGTGGACGAAGTGCGCGTATATCGCGTGCATCTCGCCTTATTTCACAAGAATACATATTACCTTTCCCTAGCACAAATACCTAATAACAAGTGTATCATGAAGTCAAGCAAGTTCTGCTAAGTGAACAGTGGAACAACAATAACAATATACGCCGTGTAATCTTGTAAGTAGGGTCTGAGAGGATAATGCGTACACAACCTTAACTCCTACCTTAAAAAGGTAGATACACTATTTCCGATACACTCTCGGCTCAAGTAAAAGACATAGAAAGTGATCCAAGTGAAAAAAGAGAAAAATTAACAAGGACAAAAATTCAACATTTGTTCTATTGAGGCAAAAGATAACAAAAAGGCCAACAAATGGTGAACCAAACTGCCCAAATACAAAAGAGTCAAGAACCAGAGCCTGAGAGTCTTGGCAAAGCTTGTTACCACTAATCCATAAGCACATTCAAACAAGATTCTTTTTTCATAGTCGTAGTATCCATGCCAGCTTGCACGCACCTCAACTAATTCTACAAGGAAATTACTACGTCACATAAACACATAATTCTATCCATCAATACTTGAGCAGGTGAAAAAAAATCACCTAGTGTTTTTCGTATCTCAACTATTTCAAATAAAAACTTCAACATCTAATACAAAATGCTATACATTTTTTTAGAATTGAACCCCATCACTATTCACTACTAGAAATACTAAAATATTTCAAAAGTTTAGACTTTTCAATATTTAAGTAACACTAAAGTATACCATCCATTACTAGTAATACTAACAAAGTAGAGAACTTCCTAAATTACTCATAAAAACAATGTCCCAATATCAAATTCTTCTTGCATCCTCACATAGATATCATCTCCCATAAAAAACTCAACATTATTATCTCCTTCGTTACCAAACTCAACAGTATTCTCATTAGTCTCGAAATCATCATTTCCCTCATTATAAACAATCTCATTCATGTTAACTTTGTTACCTTTTCCCAACACCTTATTTAAACTCTTCCCCACCATTTTTACCCTTTTCTCCTTGAAATCACCTCTCGTATCCACTTCCACACCATTAGTTTCCACAAATACCTCTTTGACCCCTAAAGATTTCTCATTTCCCCCATTTTCATCCTCATCATCGGAAATTTCAATGAACTCATCCACATTATTCTTCTCGTTAGTCTTTTCTCCCGCGATTTCAGACTCAACGTTATTCTCATTAGTCTTAGTGCCCACAAAAGGGGACCACAAAGGGTGAGTACCATTGCCCAAAACGGTGAACCCGAAGCAATGATACTCACCCTTCTCCGCCACCTCAGGTGGCGGAGATGGGCCCACAATAGGCACCCCATGAAACACTCTTCTACATTTCTCATTCTGACATCTCAAACAACAATCTTCATAATCTTTCAAAAACTCATACACATAGTAACAGTAAGGACAGACAGTCCAAAAACTACCCCTATCTTCTCCCCTGTTTTTCAACTCGTTATCAAAGCGGGTTTTCTGGGTCTGGTTCGAAAGCACAGACCAAGCTTTGAGTACAACCCCAAAAGCTTCAGAAGCAAATGGGTACCGATTCTTGTTAGGGTTTAACAGATTCGTAACGTTAGTGAAATGGGTTTTGATGAGTTGTGGGTTTTGAGTGTAGAGAGGAAGGTTAAGGATAGAATAGTAATTTGTGTGTTCGTTAATGGTGGTTGAGAGAAGTAATACATTCGCTATAGCGAGGATTTGTGAAGGGGAAATTTGATTTGAGTCGATTTCAATGGCTTTTAAGGCGTAATTACGACAATCTTCGAAGTTTCTTTGATGAAGAAAGTATTCAGAGGCAGTGAGATAAGTTTTGAATTTCGAATTATGGGTGTCCTTTGCTTTGAATCGCTGATTCTCCATTTTTTTTTTTGGAGCAGAAAAAGTTGTTGCAGAAGAGAAGGAGACGAAGATGGAAAGAGCTTTAAAAAAGAAGTTTTTGTAAAGATGGGAAGTGGACAAAATTGGAAAAGGCTTTTTTTTTTTTAAAATAATATAAATTATTATTTTATCTTTTATTACTTGCTTGTATTAGGAGAGATAGGGTAAGTTGGATTGGCTGATGTGACAGATAAGACGAAGAAAACGAGATTGAGATGATTCGAACATGTGAAGAGAAGATAGAGCGATGTACCAATAAGGAGATGTGAAATATTGATCGTAGTAGGAGACGCAGAAAGTAGAGGTAGGTTGGAAGAAAAACTTATGGAAGATGATTAGACATGATGATATGGTATGACTTCAACTTATTGAGGCTTAGGACATGGATTTTTTATAGGTAGATATGGAGATTGAAATTAGAGTAGAAAGTTAGTAAGTAGACGAATGATGAAGGTCGAGAATTAGAGTTAGAAAGGTACGTAGTAGGTAATTGAATGATGGAGATCGAGAATTAGGGTAAAAAGTTAATAGGTAATCGGATGAAATAACCGCACTTTATATATGTGGGAGAGGTAGGCGGTTTCTTATTATAAGTAGTATTTAGTAATTGTGTAGTTTTTTATTCTCCAATAAGTGTTACTATTTGTTATTTTATTTATTTTGTATCTTATTAATTTATTATCGTATTTTCTTGCAATCCTACTTTAAATCTAAAAGGGAAAATTGACTAGCTTTCCACCTTAATTAAGAATGAACTCTACTCAAGTAATCAACCCCAATTAGTCTAAACGACAGACTACACAAAGGCAAATAATCATTCAATAAATGACTTTCAAGATTGAAAACTGTTTAACTTACTCTATTATTAAAGAAGAGAGCATTTTTTGATAAATTCTCTAATATAAAATTAGGTAGAAAAATTATTTCAGATAGACCTTCGATTAAAAAGTGATGATATGTATATAATTTGTTCATACTTTGATTTTAGAAAGATCATACTCACATATCATAAAGAGTTCTAATTTTTGCATAACCTAGATTTACGAGTTTTTAATAATAACAAAGATGTAAAATATCTAATTTGGTTTATTATTTCACCCATAATACCTTGTAACTGATCATGTAACCTTCAAGACATAATTCCTCCATTCATTTACCTACATTATTATCCACATTATTCTTATTCAATACAAAGAAGAATTCCTCCACTATAAATAATGGCGTTTCTTCCTTTGTGAAGGAATCTAAGAAAGATGAGAAGTGTGAAATAATATTGTAGTGTGTAGTAGTGAAAGAGAGAGTTAAGACAAAAAAAATATTCTAAGTCTTCAACTATAGACTATACAAAAGAGAGTAATTATATGTTGAAGGTGTTCCTTTCGTGGAGCTTTGAACTCTTCAACTAATTCGAAATTGCTAAATTGGGGTAGATTATGTCGCAATGGGCTTGAATCTCCTTAAATAGAGCGAGATCTCTACGCCTCAACTTGATTGATAATTTATTCATTTTATTTCAACTGTAATTTAATGTATTTGTGGTATATTACACCAACTCATTGTTAGAGGAATATATAAGGTTGTGCTATCTTGTTTCCGAGCAGTTATATATCTAAACAAAAGTGTTCTAAACTATTAATAAATAATTGATATGTTTAAGTAAAAATGTTGATAATTAAGCTGATATTTTATTAAAATAAATTGATTGACATACACAAAAATTTGAGAAAATCATCTATTTTTTGTTGAGTCGCCCCTAAATGTTAAAAAAATGATGTGGAGTATGATGAGGGTATAAGTATTTTTCCCTAGGTCATTACAGAGGGTCCTGTAAAGATTATGGATTTATTTTTTCAAAAATCATATTATAAAAAAATTCAATAATTAACACACGAAAAACTAAGAAAAACGTCTAATTCCTGTTGAGTGGCTATTAAAAAAATTGGTGTAGATCATAATGAAGCTATACGATTGTTCCCCTGATCATTACTGAGAGTCTTGTTTGCTTATGACTTTTTGTTAAGTTGAACTTATAAGAAGTTTGGTTTATACACCGATATTTCACACTTATTGAAATAAAATATCTAAATTTTCATTTTTAAAAGTATAATAATTAGAAATTTTGTAAATTATTATTTAATTAATTATTTTCTTAAAAAGATTACAAAATGCATACTAGGCAAATATATGTGAAAGGGGTGAGTAACAATATAATAGTGTACTCTCAAATTTGAAAATTTATGTATCTATCCTAAATAATCCCCACTCATTTACCTAATGTCCAAATTTAAACATCTTAAAATGTCAAATAAGTTAATACTCCATTAAAACTTTTGAATTTTGAAAAATTATGTCTTTATCCTAAATAATTTCCTCCCAATTACATAATGTCCTATTTTGAACATTCCAAAATGTGAAAGATTTTAATTATTCAACTAATCAGATTCTCTAATAAATGATTTACTGCATTTGATATTTCATTTTGTGTATATATACAACATATATCCTTCACAAATATTTCATGTCCAAAATCATCTCCATTTACAAAAGCTTCATATTCTCTAACAATGGCGCTCCGACAATACATAGCAAATAACATCCCTAATTTAAAATTTCAAAATTATCTCAGTGCCTCCGAATTGTTTCTTCAACAGAGAAACTTTGAAGATTGTCGTATTTATGCTCTTAAAGCCATTGAGATTGACCCAAATCAAATTGCCCCTTCACAGATCCTCTTCATAGCTAATATTTTGCTCCTGGCTACCACCACTAACAAAGGCCCAAATCACTATTTTATCCTCAATCTTCCTCTCTACACTCACAATCAAGAACTCATCAAGAACAATTTCATGTACGCATCGAATTTGTTAAATCCAAATTACAATCCATACCCATTTGCATCTGAGGCTTTAGGGTATGCACTCACATCTTGGTCTGTTCTTTCGAGCTCAACCCAGAAGGCCAATTTTGATGATGAGTTGAAAAACAAGGAAAAAGAGAAAAATACTTTCGAGCCCAACCCAGAATCTTTGTGGTCCCCTTTTGTGGGGACCACAAAGATTAATGAGAATAATGTTGAGTTTGGGATTGGTGGTGGAAATACTAACGATAAAAATGATGCAAATGAGGTTATTGAAATTTCTGATGACGAAGAAGAGGATGAAAATGGAAAAAAAGATCAATCTTTAAGGGTCGAAGAGAAATTTGTGGAAACTAATGGTGGTGAAGTGGATAAAGAAGAAGGTAATTTCAAGAAGAGGAGGATAAAAATGATGGGAAAGAGTTTAAATAAGGTTCTAGGAAAAGGGAACAAAGTTGACATGAATAAAATTGTTTATCATGTTGAGGGGAATGATAATTTTGAGTGTGATAACGCGGGAGAAAACACTAATATTGAGTTTGAAATTATGAAAGATAATAATGTTGAGTTAGAAATTGTGGAAGGAAAAACTCATGAGAATGGTAATGTGGGTGAAACGAGTGATAATAATAATTTTGAGAATAAATGTATGGAAGATGATGATGATATGGAGTTTCTGAGAGAAGATATCTATGATCAAATGAAGAAGTTTTATGATATCGAGTTCTTTTGAGTAATTTAGGAAGTTCTCTCTTTCGTTAATTCATGTATTATTGATTTTGATGTTAAGATGTACTCAACTATGATTATTAATATATATCTTATCAAAGTAATGAGTTGAATTGGACTTCATGTGCTTGCAAACTAACATTGTTCCTTGCATGTTATTCGACATTTGTTTTTCTATTTGTAGGCCAATATAATTTTATTATTAACAAATATATAAATTCACAAACGAACTCCATATCTTTCTATCTACATGTTCTCAGTAAGGTGAAGTTGAGTCATTTCTTGTGTAATTATTTTTTCCAGTTCTTTTCCAACCTATATTTACTTCTCATAACTTTTGCTACAATCAACCTCTTACCCCTCCCTATTGATGCATCCGCAAAACATTATAATTGATTGTCTATATTGAGTTTAAATGATATTGTATTTATATTAAGTTTAGTGTTTACATTGTTATAACCTTAATTTGTAAGATCTTGGAATTAATTATTGGTATATTATTTGACATTTTTCACACCCAATTAATCTATCCAAACTTCAACATGAGTCCATATAATACTACTAGAGTTTCATGTATTTTTCTTGAATTCTTACATGCTTCAGCAGTCAAACTTTTCTTGAAGGGATAAAAATAAATAACGAATGAAAGGTAAGGATTATATCAAAAAAGTTTAACCAAAAATAAATAAATATTCCTAATTGAAAATATTACTAGAAATTAGAAGCTAGGAAAACACTTGAAATTTTTGAAAAGTCAAATCGAGAAAAAGAAAGTTTGTGATGAAATATAAGGAAACAATAACATATGTTAATTAAGAGAGAACGATTTATTTTATTTTAATGCCTTTATATTAAGATTTATAGTTTGTTAGTATTGTATTTATTTCTCTTTTTGTACTATCAAATTCAAATTTTCCTTCAAATTTCTTTCTTGAAATTGAATTTTCCTAACTAATTCTTATTTTTGGTATAATAATTATGTTTACATTAATTGGGACGAGTAAAATTGAGAAAAAAATAATGAAAAAACTACGAAATTAGTGTCTATATAAACAAACAATGGAGTATTATATGTACATAGCAAAATTGAGTTAGGTTTCTGCAATATTATTTCGTAAGTTTCTTTTCACCTTTGACTTTATATCTTTATAGTTATTTATTTATTTTCTTAAAGACTTATCGATGATTTAGTTTTTTATTAATTAACTTGGTTTCTTTTGTATTCTATAGTTATAAATTCAAGTCACTTTGATATACTAAAAGCAAGAATGTCATCCTAAAGAGCAAAACAATTGACAAGAATATTTCTTTATAATTTTATTTTAAAAAAGTTGAGCTCATCCTTTATTCACTAACCTATAATTTTTTTTTATTTTTTTTTACATTATCAAATAAT